CTGGCCTGGATCAGCAATGCTGTGGCCAGCAGGGCCAGGGCAGGGATTGTCCCCCTGTGCTGGGCCGTGCTGAGGCCGCACCTCCAGTGCTGTGCCCAGGGCTGGGCCCTCACTGCAGGAAAGGCCCTGAGGGGCTGGAGAGAGTCCAGAGAAGGGCAATGGAGCTGGGGCAGGGTCTGGGGCACAAGTGCTGTGAGGAGCAGCTGAGGGAGCTGGGGGTGTTTGTCCTGGAGAAAAGGAGGCTCAGGGGGGACCTCATCACTTTCCACCACTGCCTGAAAGGAGGCCGTGGCCAGGTTGGGTTGGTCTTTTCTTTTAGGCAACCAGTGACAGAAAGAGAAGACATGGCCTCAAGCTGCACCAGCGGAGCTTTAGCTTGGATTTTAGGAAGAATTTATTCACAGTTAAACATTGGAATGGGCAGCCCAGGGATGCGGTGGAGTCACCAGGAGCTGTTTAAGGAAAGACTCATCACACTCAGTGCCATGGTCTGGCTGACAAGGTGGTGTTCAATCACAGGTTGGACTTGATGATCTCAGTGTTCACAGAATCAGCAATTCCATGATTCAGTGTTTTACAATAATACCAAGTTCTGCAGTTTGGAATTGATGTACAGAGGGAGGCATCTGAGCCATTGATGTGTTTGGCATTCCACACCTTGTTTCTGGCAGAGCTACCTCTCTGGCAGTGACAATCCTGGCTGAAATCCCTCTCAATGAAATCACTGGCAAATTTTCCAATACCTTGAATAAGAACAGAATTGGGTGCCATGACCAGAAGATACATGTGCATCTCTCATCATACTGTAAGCAGCAAATGTTCATGATGGCAATCTAGCAATCTAAACTGAGAGGCTAGTGACATCTGGGAGTAAGTTGATTATATTAATACCCAAGAACACAAACAGAACTTATTTACATCATCAGAAAAAATAGGACATTGACTAAGCGAAATCATGCAAGGCAAAATTTATTCCAACTTCATTAAAATAATCTTTGTCTGATCCAAGTCACCTACTTAACTAGGAAAAAAAAAAAAAAAAAAAAAAAACCAAAAAAAACCCAACAAAACCCAACCCAAAAACCCACAAATTTGCCTCCTTGCTGATGAAAAGACAAATACATGACATAAGCTATTGCTATAAGTATTTTAAAAATAATTTTAGCCTTTTTTTCATTAAAATTCACCTGTACAACTTATTTCTCTAAATATACTTTAGAGAGAAAACATCTCAAAAAGAAAATTCTTTAAATATATTTTCTACTTTTTTTACAAATTTTTTTGGAAAGTGTTTTCTTTATTTCATTCTGGATGGGTCAATGTAATTCATAATTTATAAAACTGCCATGCAGGAGATATTTTGCAGAATTTTGCAGTGGTAAAAGGCAAAACAGAATTACTGGTTTTGAGCAGCAGGTACCATTTCTAGTCTAGGACTTGTACTGAAGGTAGCTGCTTTTCAAGCTTAGCAATGGAACAATTAATAAAGAAACCCATTAAGGTCTGATTGTTGCTGCTAAAAAGGAAGGTTGAATTTCAGGCCTTTGAAGTAACTGAGAATGATTCAGGCCTCATTACAGAGATATAATCTACATTCATACATTTATGTTAGTGATTCAAATCTATTGGGACAGATTGAATTCCGTTAAATAGTGGATCTTTCCTGTGGAACTTTTCTCAGGCTTTCTCAGGCTAACCTAAGAGGTGACCTGACAATACAAAGTAGTGGGGTATTTAGGGATTCAACTGTGCTATAAAAGAAAGGCTATACAGAAGGTAGAAAAAAGAATGAGATATAATCTAAAAAGCTATGTCAGCTTTTCATTTGGACTCTGTTTTGTAAATGCCCTCCTTGTCATCACACAGGACAGAAAAGGACTCTATGCATTGCAGTAGTTTAAAGTACTGCCCTGAATATTGCACCTGCCAGAAGCAGATCTTGTGAGAAATTCTGCGGGTGTTGAATTTTCTGTTTTTAAGTACAAAATCTTGCAACCAATATATAGATAATCATGAGCTAGAAACAGGTTTAAGCACAACTCTTCTTGAGTTAGTTGAAGACAGTACCTATTTTTTCAGGGTTAATTATGGCTGTTTAACCCTCAAATTATTTCTAACTCCCATCAGAGATCTTAAAATGCCAATTTGCTTTATTTTCCAACATTTGACAGGAAAAAGAGAAAAACCAAAAGGAAAGACATACTCAAATCTAAAAGTTTAAGATATTATGGAAATTGTTTCTAATTTAAGCTGTCGGAATCAAAATTACTTCAATTTTAGAAATAATGTCTTGTATCCTTCATGACCCAGGCAGCACTCAAACATTGACATAAGTTTTGTAGACACACATGTAAGCGGTCAGGCATTCACAGAAAAGAGTGGTTTGCTTTACATTTTTTCTTGTTTCTCTGCTTTTATAAAATTAATTACCAAAAGGAAAAGCCTTAGGCAAAAGGAAAGCCTAAATCAGATTTGCAAAAAGAAAGATTTTTGAAATGCTTTGCACTCAGTGCAAATACATGCAGAATAAATAATCTGAAGTACCATAAACAACATCGTAAAACATATTGATTCTAACATTAAATGGTTTCATTTTTAAGGCTGTTTAAATGTCACCCCCAGCAGCTGAACACATAAATTGAGGAGCCAACTCTCTCCAGGATAAACACCACAATTGGAGAAAATAATTTCTAATTTCTGTTGTGAAGTTACCAATATATTTAACATCCTCATCTAATGAATCAGTCTAATTTTAGAACTGTTTGTTCTTCCTGCATTTTCTGTTGTTTAAACTAAGATTTACTCCAAATGCCAAATGGAATCACATAGGAGGTTTTCCATTGCATTCCACTGATCTGCATTACTGCCTATATTTCAAAAAAGTTTTGGGTTTGCTTATTGAGCTACTCACTGTGTTTCTGTACCTATTTCCTTGATATTCCATTCTCTTAGCAAATGTTCCATCCACTCGTGTTCCAAAACAGTTATTTAACATGGCTAAATACTGACTAAAATACAATATCTTGCATGCCGCCCATACCCTGTCAGTTTCTGATGCTTTATTCTGGTGTTAAAAGATAGTACATCATATGGAAGATGCTTGTTGATTGCGGGGAAAGCTGACACTTCAGTGATGGGCTAGAAATATGAAACTGTCATAACACTCAGTACGTGAAATGATAAATCCACTAGAAGAGATGGAATCATAGGAAAAACCAACAGCATATGCCCCTCCAGGAAAATAATAGCTTGAAAAATCGCTTAAAATAGCCTCGAAAATGGAAAAATTGTTTCTTTCTGGCAAGGGAAACTGCACTAGTTTAAAAAAAAAATTTAAAAGACAGCAAAGTATTCAGACAGATTTTATGGGGAAACCTTTGCAATGCCAATAAAATCCCTTTTGCTTTGAAGTCAGACGCGTGATTCAGTAAACGACTCATGTTAGCAATTAGAAAATGGTCATTTAGGGCCCTGATTTCTTTTGAGACAAGGAGAGTGAGGGTGGGGAAAAAGACACAATAAATCTTGAGAGGCTTAAAAGGAAGAGCAGGCTAAAGTGTGAACTTCTTATTTCAGCAACGGAAGCGAGAAATCAGTGATTCATTGAAGGAGGGAGAAAGACCTCCATGCAAGCTGGCAGAGAAGAAGGAAAAGGAGCTAATTATGTCTCTTCCCTTTTTACTCTCTCTGACCAGCATATAATCTGCTTTTCCAAGGTCTGCCTGTAGTATATACTCCTTTCCAACCTCTCCACCCAACCCCTCCTCCAGCGGGGGGGAGGGGGAGGTCTAGCAGGCAACAAGCTCCAGGTGGCTTTCTCAATCACTTCACTGCCAAAAAAAATAAAATAAAACCCTCCAGTAGAAAACAAGTTGGGGTTTTGGGGGTTGGTTTTTGTTAGTTTGGGGAGGCTGTTTAGTGGAGGAGGTTGGTTGGTTGAGATTTTTTTCTTTTTTCTGGTGGGGGGGGGAGAGAGAGAGAGAGAGAGTGGGGGAAGAGTGAGGGGGAGGGAAGCCTCCCTGGAGGGGATTGGTTCAACTTGGAAGACAGGGAAATTAGTAAAGCATGAGTCTCTAAGCCATGCTGGTGGCCGGCGCTCCGAGGAGAAGGACGCTTTAGGAGCAATTAGCAGCGAGCCGAAGGCGGCCGCTGCCGCAGCCCGGGAGGAAGCGAGGGCAGCTCCCGGGGCTGCCTCCGCAGCAGGCACCGCTCGCTCCAGCTGCAAAAAGGTTTCAGATGTCCCACCACTGCCTGACCCCCTGCAAATAAGGGTTGACCACCAGAGGCACATCCCACCTCTGACTTGTAATCGCTGACATTTAGGCTACAGCTTCCAACCTGTTTACAACCAAAGGGGGAGGGAAAGGAAAGGAAAGGAAGGGCGGGGGGACAAGTTGGGATTTCTCCTTCTCTCTTTCTCTCGGGTTTTTTATTTTTTTTAATACTGTTCTGGAGAATTCAAAGCAAAACAAAGAAACTTCCTCCTCTGGGGTTGTCAGTGAGAAAAGGACGAGTTGTGCAACTGGTTTGGGATTTGCAAAAAGGCAAGAGGGTGGGGATCAGAAGAAGGTGCAAAGCCACAAAGTGTGAGTGCGCGTGTGTGTAAAGGTGTATGTGTGAAAAATCCATTCCGGCACCCCTTTCCGCTGGCTATTATTTATCTTAGTTGTTGGTTTTGTTGTTGTCATTGACTGTGCTGTCATCTATTTTTCAGACCTTTCTGCATCTAAGATGGTGAAGAAAGGAGTGAGGAAGAGAACAAAATAACTACTGGAAAGTCTCAAACCAGGTTGGGGAGTGTGTGTGCATGTGGGGGGCTGGGGAAGGGAAAAAGGAAAGAGGATTAACCACAGCAACCCCCCCACCCAAAAAAAAAAAAAAAACCAAAAAACAAAACCAACAACCAACAGCTCTTTTTTCTGAGGGAGGACTCGAAGGATTAAAAGGCAGCAACTTCTGAGGCGATTTGTCCCCTGAGTTATGGATGTTGGTGCACTTACTTCAGGCCAGATCAGAGCTCAGACGAATCTAACCAGCAGCAACCACCGTCTCTCCACTTGCCTTTTACCAGGTTTTACCCTTCCAGTATGTTTCATTTGATAAGACATTTTCCAGCGCCCAGAGTTTCAGTACAATGTGCAAATGGATACTGACAAATGGTGCCTCAGCCTTTTCCCACCTGCCTTGTTGCTGCTTGCTGCTGCTCTTCTTGGTGTCTTCTGTGCCTGTCACCTGCCATGACCTCGGCCAGGACATGCTGTCCCCGGAGGCCACCAACTCCTCTTCTTCATCATCCTCCTCCTTCCCCTCGTCCTTCTCCTCTCCTTCCAGTGCGGGGAGACACGTGCGGAGCTACAATCACCTCCAAGGAGACGTGCGCAAGAGGAAGCTCTATTCTTACAACAAGTACTTTCTCAAGATCGAGAAGAACGGCAAGGTCAGCGGCACCAAGAAGGAGAACTGCCCGTTCAGTAAGTACGGCTCTGCCGCCGCGCTGCCGGGCAGGGGCCGCTGCTCCCCGGGCCGAGCGCCCGAGCCCCGGCCGGGAAGGGAAGGGACGGGAGAGGGAGAGGTGGCGCCGCGGAGGGGAGGGGGCGCACGGCAGGGCTGGGTGGGCTCGGCTCGGCTCCTCAGGGACGCCGCTCCCGCACAGCCCGTATTTGCGAACCGCTCCGGTTACATTTGTTTTGCAAATGGCCTCGCTGAGCACCGTTTGTTTCTTCGCCAGGCAGAAGAGCAAATTAGAAAGATTTGCAAGGAAGTGGCGGGGAGTGTGTGGGGGACATTGTCTCCTGAATCTGAAAATCATTATCCCCTGTCATTAGGGCGCCTTGACGAGAGCGCTGCATTGGAACAATTAATCGATTGCCCGCACGCTCCGCTCCCCGCGGCCCGCTCCCGGAGCAGGGCTGTTCATTCCCGGGGCCGGGCTCCCGCCGGGGCTGCCCGCGGAGCCGGAGCCCGTGCGCGCCCGCGCTGCCGCCCGCCGTGCGGCGGAGGCGGTGCCGCGCTGCGCCCCGCCGGTCCCGGGCTGCCGCGCCGCTATACCGCTACTCGCTCCATTGTAAACATCTGGGGCTGCCTTCCCACAGACCTCACACGCGTTTCATTGTCCTTTTCTTTCTTTCTTTTTCTCTCTTTTTTTTTTTTTATTTTATAAATTATTTCGGAGCCAAAGTCATATGGCGGTCCCCATAGCTGAAGTTTCGAGCTTTTCTCTAGAACTAATTAGATGCTTAGTAATAGCATGCTTCTGGTAATGTAATTTTTTGGCTGTTAGTGCTAGAAACGTACCCTTTACTTGGTTTTCCTGCCTATGCAGTCTCAAATTGAACTGTACTAAATCACAATGTATTGCTTTCTCTTATAAATCTTAACTGACTATGTCCCACTATAGGAACATGCTGAGAAAGTAAGCTCTGTTAGGCAACTCGAGGATACTCTAAGGCTTTCTTCAACTGGTAAAGAACCACATTTTGGTTCTTGTGTTGTTTTACATAAATCCAGATAAACCCCGGAATAAATCTGCTGTTAAATTAAAACAACTGAAAGCGAATTAAGTAGATCCCTTGCTAGCTAATGTGTAAAACAGGCAGTTCTTCAGCAGGTTGCCTTGCTATATGACAGACACTACTGTTAATTCAGCTGTATTTCTGGTAAATACCGTAATATAACTTTAGAAACAGGGAGAAAAGTGTTGGAGTATCATGTGTTGCTGCTTCACTTGCTCCACCTTGCAACTTCATGCTTTATCACACATTCTAATGTTTATAAATGCTTTAGATGTCAAAGCAGCTGAATCTTACCACCTCCCCTTCTGTATTACATAGAAAGGCAAATTCTTAAAAAAAGCAGAGCTGTGAGGGAGGCTTAACTTTGATGAATTTGTATGGAATGAAGTCCTGGAACTGTGTTTCTTAGATTACCTTTGGCTTTGGAGGAGAACAGCACCCCTAAAATGGGATTTTGAAAGCTTTGCATGCATCTCTGAGAACAGCAAACCGTTCTGTATAGCACACTGCTGCCAAGAAGGGCTGTAAGGTGCCCACTCTGACAGCAGTGTACGCAGGGAAGTAGCTACAGATCTGAGCAGTCCCACTTTGCCAGCAGAATTGCTCAGTGAGTAAACTTACCCACATGCTTGAACTTTTGCAAAGTCCTGCCAAGAAGAGGTAGAATGGACTGAAATGCACAAATACAAGTTCCTACCTTTTCAGGCTACGTGCAAGAACAACCCCCCACGACTGTGGGAGGGGGTGTGCACGGTGTGTCCTGGTTTTTCTGTCAGTGCATCAGAAAGAGAATTGCCTTCTCAGTGATGTCATGATTACTGCCACATCTGCACAGTATCTGCTGAAAGAGAGGAGAATGTAGGTTTTTTTCATATAAAAACAAAACAATGCCTTTATTGTACATAATTGCATCCTATCACTGAAGATTACATGCAGTGAAGAAAGGACTGCCATAATCTTAAAACTTGCAGCATCCCCACTGTACTTCATCACAACGGCAGACCTAGTGAACATCCTTCAGCTCAAAACTATTTCCATCCTGTTGACAGAAGTCAGAGTTCTCTGTTGCTGATTCATACTGATTAAAATATGGAGCGTGACATTGTCTTTTCTGTAAAAACATAGTCTGAGACTATTTAAAAATATATTTATTGTGCCTTTATTCAAGGCTGTTTGTGTAGCAAAATGTTGCAAGTGAATTCAGTAAATCTATGTTTTTCACAGCATCATGTGTAGCAGTGCTATCATAATACTGCTGTAATCCCCAGCTGGACTGATTCCATGCAAAGATATGGTATCTCTCACATGGTCTGAAATAAGTAATTACATGTGAATACATTTCTGCCTTGCATAGGGTTAGCCAGAGAGGCCACTAAATTGTAGCCTGTTTAACATTACAAGCTATTTAATCTCTAAAATTAGTTTCTCCCTCCGAAACCATGTTTTCCTAAACAAATAAGAGTGACTATTGACATACAAGACTGAAATATTCTAATTTGGAGGCTAATTTTCTCATATGCTAATGTTTAAAATTCATTTATGCTGCAGTAAAGCCTTATCAGTAGGTCTGTAAGATCGTGATATATTGTGTAATTAGACAACAGCCTTCACGGCTCTCTGCCAGTTAAGCACTGTCACGTAAGAAGAACAGTTGGAGAAATTCAGAATAAACATTCAGAAAGCAGAATTTAGTCTCCAACCTTTGAACGGCTCAAACAGCGTTCATGGATTAGCTCTATAAATATTGTGTAGAGTGCACTAAATTAAAGTTTACTCTGGCAGCTGTATTCCGACTTGATTGCTTGGAACTATTCCATCATCCTTTCTCTACCTGCGGAGTACCAGGTGGTTCCTGACTGTTCTGTCAGAAAACTGGCAGAACTTGTAGCACTTGGCATGGCTGGAGGTGTCTGTCACTAGATAGATGTAGGACACTTTATTTTATTTTTCCTTACATCTGGAAGTTGATCCTCAAAATACAACTACTACCTTGTCCTACAGCACCACAGCTGTGAAGTCCCTTGCCCCTGTTCTTGACAGAGCCCTTCACAAGCACAAATAAAGAGAGCTGTAGTGCTTTTTGGAGGCTTACACACTAGATGAGGGACCAACAATCCAAAAATCCTCCAAAGAGCAATAACAAAAGCTTTCACTATACCTTGAGCTCTGGGATCATCAAAAGAATCTAAAGACAAATATTGAAATTGAGAGGGAACTGCATGTATGCAGATTCTGACTTGACTCCCACACTGGCAGTTCTCTTGATTAAGATAGAGAATCTCTCTGTGATTAATGGTTGACATGCATTAAAGCTACATGATATTTGATAAGCAGGTTCAAGAAAACTTGAATGTATGTCTCAGTGCTATACAATTTTCAGTTGTCTTCTGAGATAACCATTCACAGTACTATAGGGCACACAATTTGCAGGACAGATCTTATTAGTTGAAGAACAACAACAAAACACACAATACTCCGTTTGCAGCAGCTGACCCGCAGTCTGTGGAGGGCGTTCTGCCTGAGCAAAGATTGCAGGACCAGGCTCTTATTTAGGTGCACGTTCAGGGAGTGCAGTCCGCGTCACTGAGCCTGGAGAGGAGTGGGAAGGATTGCTGGAGGGATCCCTGCGGGCTTTGGACCAAGCGGTGCTATGCAAAACCTACAGCAGATGGCGGCACAGCCACTGCCTGGTGTCACCTCTGCTCAAAGAGGTGGACCACGAGGGTCTGCATCCTCAACTGTGGAGGCTAATTTAGTTCAAGCAAAGCCATTCCAAGCAAAGATATTCTATTTATTTGTCTTATGAGCAACCCAAGTGGTCTATTTCAAGAAAAAGGCACTTTGTTGCAGAATGAAAGTCTATGTCAGGGGACCTAGCAAGAAATAATTAGCTACTTCCCACAGGCTAACCTATTCCGGGCTTTTCTTCTGAGTATTCAATTATCTTTTATACTAAGCTTTAGGAACTCTTGAATTCTCTGATAGTCCTTGCTTTTGCTTTGGTTAGCGTGGGATAAGCTTAACCACATAGTGAGTGAAAGAAGAAAGTTTTGACCCTCATTCTTTAGCCCAAAAGATTGTAAACAACCACTTAACTACTAGAAGTCCTGAACATTACTAATGAGGATTTTAATTGTGTTCATATATACGTGACATACAAATAGGTATTTGTATTCTAGATTGGTTTATATGCCAAAAAATAGCATTAAGTGTGTTTTGATTAGGTATACTTCATTTGATACTCATTTTTTTCACCATACCTCTGGTGCAGGAAAGACAATAAAGTGCCATAGGTACCTTAACATCAGTTATGAAGCTCCAAGCAGATTAGAATAATTGATAAAATAGACTCTTTTCCTACCAAACATATTGTAAACTAACTATTTGGGATTATTGACTCCTTATCATATGTGTTTGTAAATTAATGTGAGAATTTTTCACTGTTTTTCTAAAGACGGACTAGTGTTTTGCTCGTTTACTGTCCAAAGAGTTCTGTTTTATGGCTTTACTAATCAAAATACTTAAAAGAGGAAATAATAATGA